CAAAGACTATATGTCTGATCAATATCATGTGGTAGGAAGACAACGGACAATACTAAGCTTGGATTTCTCATGCACTTAACATTACTCGATACACAATCAAACCACATTCAACAATGAAATAATCAATTCACAATCTCTTGTTCAAATCAAGAATATCATGCAATCAAATTCAAGATTCTAGGTTAGCTACTCCTATTATAATGAATTAACATGCAATCGCATATAATCAATTTAATCACAATCCGTTATCAAAATCAACCTTCAATTACATAGATTACCTAGGCCGGGTTTCATCCCAAAACCCTAGCTAGGAGACTACTCACACATATTCATAATCAAAGCAATAATGAATTCTAAAAGCATAATAGATCTAAACATGAATTCTGATTAAGGAATAATAAAGCTTGATTAATAAACAAGAATTAATAATACCAACAATATCGATGCGAATCAATGCAAAAGATTGGAACTTTGATATTCGATGTCAATGAATAATACAAAGAATCCCAATTAATCTTGCCTTGAATAAAATCCGGAAAACTAGAGTATCTCGAATCTGATTAACTATGAATTTGCTAGAATAAAATCTAAGAAAACTATGGAACCTTAACTACGGAAGTACTCTCAACATCTCTCTGAAAACCTGTCTGTTCTTAACCCTCATAATAGGGTTATATATATATATATATATATATATATATATATATATATATATATATATATATATATATATATATATATATATATATATATATATATATATATATATATATATATATATATATATATATATATATATATATATGTTTTAATTTAGAAAGCAATTGCGCAGGCTGCCCTTCGTAAATCAGCACGGCCGTGCAAACATGGCAATAGTTGATCCGCAATATCTTCAATTTTGGCACGACCGTGCTAATGCCTGGCACGGCCGTGCTGAATCTGGCACGGGCATGGAAATTGGCTGACACGGGCACTGGCCTGACTTGGCACGGAAAATGGCACGGCCGTGCTTCATCTCTACACGGTCGTGTTGCCTGGTCAAAATTGTTGGGGCTGCCTGGCACAGGCGTGCCAAATGTGGCACGGCTGTGCTACTTGTGCATCTTGTGTAAACTCTTGAAAAACCCCTTAGTTCCCCGTATACGACCAAGGTTGGCTCGATCACGTACGAATGGCTCGGGACCCGACTAAACTCGATCAATTATACCTGAAAACACATCAAAAACAACCCGAAACCCGTGAAGCACGTAATACAAGGGATATAAGCATAACAAGGCAATAAACGACCAAAACGGTCTTAAATACGTCCTAAATCATCCTATTATATGCTCTAAAGCGCGCCCTAAAGTGCGCTTATCACCTTTCTTGAGCTTGCTCTCAAGGATGTGCTTGTGGGTTTCGAACCTCTCGGTTCGAGCTTGCTCTTGGAACATATTCTGAAATTCAGAAATGATCTCAAAAGTCGTCTCCTTTTCAAAGAAAGTCTTTTGAAGGTTCGGAGACATAGTGGCCAACATGATGCATTTGACATCTTGATTGGCACTTTGACATCGGTTAAGGGCAGCCTGAGTGACCTCCTCATTGGGAGTGTCGGTCATTTCCTCATCAAGGACGTATTCCTTTTGCTCTTGCATAAGAACAATACGCAAGTTCCTATGCCAATCAAGAAAATTTGGCCCACTCAACTTCTCCTTGTCGAGAATTGAGCGTAATGAAAATTGGTTGTTTGAGTTATTTGCAGACATGTTTCTACAATTGAAAGAATTTGAAACGAAAAACCATTCATAAACCAATAAGTTTTAAATTTAAAGCGTTCATGCAAATTTTCAATCTTATTGTGCATTTTATCCACGCATTAACATTAGTCCCTTTTAGGTGAGAATAAAATGATTCCAAGATCCCAAAAATCAAAAAGTGATTAAGCATGCTTTGGTGTGTCATAACACTTAATATTTTAGGGTAAGCAATCCAATTTCTAATAGCTCCAAGCTACTCTTGGTTCGATAAAACGTCGCATCTAATGCTTCCTTGACATTTTATCTCCATTGCCACGACATTTAAGGACTCCTTACTGATATCGTTGAGCTTAACCAAGACGACTTGTATACCTAGTATACCTTACGTTCCTAGGGAAGCGGTGATGCCTCGCTTTGGCGTAGCCCATCACCACGCGCATTAGTTCGGTAAGTGTCGTTCTTGGAATGGCAAATTTGGCTCAATATTATAGGGACCTAGGGTTTCTATGTTGGTTGATTTAAGTGAACTTAATTAACTATCGCAACATTTGAAATCCTAAACATGCATCTATCATACAATTCAAGCATATATAAACATAATATATACATAGGGGTGGGACTTCGGTTTGGCGGTTCGGTTTGACCTCGGTGTGAGTCGGTTTTGGTTTGGAGCGGTTCGGGTTGAAACGATTTGATTTAGCTGATGGGTCAGTTCGGTTTCGGTTAGTCACGGGTCGGTTCGGTTTCGGTTTATTTCTTTACGGTTTAAATTTGGTTTGGGTCATAAACTTGTCGGTTTATAAACAATTCGGATCACCCCGGTTCAGTTTGAAACGGATCGGTTTAGGGGGCGGGTTTACCCAGGTTGATGACGGTTCAGTTTACAAACAGTTTGGATCATGCCGGTTTGGTTTGAAACGGGTCGGTTTAGGGGCGGGTTCACCCTGGTCACTGTTGGTTCGGTTTATAAACGGTACGGATCATGTCGGTTCGGTTTGAAATGGGCCGGTTTAGGGGCGGGTTTACCCAGTCCAATGTCGGTTCGGTTTATAAACGGTTCGGATCATGCCGGTTCGGTTTATAAGCGGTTTGGGTCATGAATTCATGAATCATGATTGTTTTAAAGATCGCGTCATGACCATGATTTAATGAGTTGATACTTAGAATACAATAAATCGATAATTAAGGAAGTACAAGTACTCAATTAGATCGATCAACAAATGTTTTAATTTTTAAGTTTTAACATATATGTTTATCGATTATACGTACATAGTTACATAGTTACATACTTAATTACTTACATACCAATGATTCAATGAGGCAATGAGCCAATGATACTATGATACCAATCGTACATTCATACCATACTACCATATGATATACATAATACATATACATTAACAATATCGTATTGAATCAATTTCAATTTCCAAACATTTGCATATCTTATAATTTATAAGTTACACACTTACACGAGATTAAATGGATTATTTATTTAGTTTGGTACTTTATTTAGATTACTAACTCAAACAACTTGATAAGTTAAATGGACGAAATGACATAATGACTAAAGTGGTGATGAAATCATTATGCAATACTAATGTACAATTAGTCAAATAATCAACGGTTAGATTGAATGCCCATGAAAAACAACAGTTAGATTTCATTACTTTATTAGTTACTACTCATTACTTTATTAGTTATTACTTATTACTTTATTAGACTTATTCTTATACTCTTATTACTTATTAAGTTATTAGTTTATTACATTTAAAGTCACAGACTCACAGATATATTCATATATATAGTTATACATAGAGATGTTAGATATTGATGTACATTAAGTCATTAGCTATGTCATATTGAATTCATTCAATTTTGTTTCATTTGTGTTTCTTACAATTTATAAGTATATACATAATACATATACATTAACAATATGTCAATATCGTATTGAATCAATTTCAATTTCCAAACATTTGCATTTCTTATAATTTATAAGTTACACACTTACACGAGATTAAATGAATTATTTATTTAGTTTGGTACTTTGTTTAGATTACTAATTCAAACAACTTGATAAGTTAAATGGACGAAATGACGAAATCACTAAAGTGGTGATGAAATCATTATGCAAGAGCAATACTAATGTACAGATAGTCAAATAGTCAAATGGTCAAATATACAACGGTTAGATTGAATGCCCATGAAAAACAACAGTTAGATTTCATTACTTTATTAGTTACTACTTATTACTTATTAGTTATTACTTTATTAGTCTTATACTCTTATTAGTTATTAGTTTATTACTTATTAAGTTATTATTTTATTATATTTAAAGTCACAGACTCACTGATATATTCATATATATAGTTATACACTTATACATAGAGATGTTAGATATTGATGTACATTAACGTCATTAAGTCATTAATTATGTCATATTGAATTAATTTCAATTTTGTTTCATTTGTGTTTCTTACAATTTATAAGTAATATTGTAATATTATTATTAATAATAATAATAATAATAATGATAATAATATTAATAATAATAATAATACTTATAAAAAGAATATTAACATAAAATTATACTAACATTCTAACAATAATAATAATAATAACAATAATAATACTAATAATAATAATAATAATAATAACCTCAAAATAATAATAATAATAATAATAATAATAATAATAATAATAATAATAATAATAATAATTATAGTAACCTCAAAATAATAAAATAATTAATAATAGTTTTCAAAAAAAAAAAAAAATAATAATAATATATTAATATATTTTAATAAAAAAAGGAAAAAGTCTCGAAAAAAAAAATAAGACCGTTGATAAAGCTGGCATGTTGCATGAACATTCTGGAACCAGACCTTTATTACTACCAAAAAAAAAAATGAACGGTGAGATGCTGAGATTAAAAATGGACGGTTAGATTAGGAGAAGAAGTAAAACCTAAAACTAAACCTAGAGAAAACTCACTAGCACACACGCCTCATTTGTCATTTCCTCATCTCTCTGATATTCTCAAACATCTCTCTCTCTCCTAACCTCCTAACCCTAACTATCTCCCTCTTCATCTGAATCTCTCAAGCTTTCTCAAATTCTCAGTTCTCACGCCTATGAAACTCTCATTTCCTCATCTGATATTTTCATTTAGTCTTAAAATTTCAGATTTTTTTTTTGGAAGGTCTAATTCTTTTGTTCATTTATTCCGAATTGATTAATTTCTGTTTTTTTTTTTTGTAGATCTGTCATATACTCATATTCTACTCACGGCAATATAAGGTATTTGTATTTTTCATTCTCATTCTAAGTTCCGATTTTTTTTTTTTGTTGAAAACTTCTAATTTCCTATTTTTTGTTCTAAGTTCTGTTTTTTCTGGTTTATTGTAGATCTTTTTTCTGGATATTCTCAAACTTCGAATTTTTCTGGTATTTTTCTGGTTTTTTATAAGTTCTATTTATTCTGGTTTATGAGTTTATCTGCCTTTTTTTTGTTTTTTTTAATTTTAATTTTTTTTTTCTTTTTTTTTGTAGATCTTTCATATTCTCTACTCACGGACGATATAAGGTATTTGTATTTTTCATTCTCATTCTAAGTTCCTATTATTTTTTCTAAGTTCTGTTTTTTCATTTATTATTTTGTAAATTATAATTTCTGATTTTTTTTTTTTTTTTGAAAGTTCTAGTTCTTTTGTTCATTTTTTGTTTTGCAATGTATATTTTGTGATTTTTTTTTTTTGATACGTAAATTTTATTGACATTTCTGTTGAATAAGGAATTAGGGGGGTGGTAGAAGGACGAGGAGTATTTTGGCAGCTGTGAGCAGGATGCTAATGAAGAGTGGCCATAGTAATCAGTAAATGTTGTGATGTGTTGTTGAATGAGAATTAGTTTTGGCATTTACATTGATGCTAGCTGTTTTGAGAGTGGGTTAATTTTATTTTATTTTTTGTTGTTGGTGTTGTTGTTGTTGAAGGAACAACTTCTGTTTTCTTAATTTGGTTCATTTTACTTATTGTAGCACTACATATGTGCATTTGCATTGAGTTAACTTATTTTCTCTAATTAACTACAATATTTGTTTTCTCTTAGGTGCTTAATTGTATTATCTAGAAGCTACACAATTTCTTCAATAAGTTCCCATTCTGCTAATCTTATTCTGCTTAAAGTTAGTATACTTGTATGTACTTAAAATGTATACTTGTATGATTGGCTTAAAGTTGGCTTAAAGTTAGTACTTAAAATGTACACATATGTCAGTCACATGAGACAATGCATGCTTAATTGCTCACTATTAGTAGAATCTGTCACTTAATTTGGTACTTATAAATGCTGTTTTTTTTTTCAGTCATGTCTTGCGAGTATGATGAATTTGACTATGAGAGGCAATCAAATTTTGATACTGTTAGCTCTCAAGCTGCCTCTGTCCCACTCCCGGTTGATGATGCTAGTAATACCGGCACTATCAATTCAAGGGAAACATTTTGACGTTCTCAAGTATTGAGAATCTCAAGCTTCTTCTCTTCCTATTTTAGCTAATATGGCAAGGGATGTTTTGGCCATTCCTATTACATCGGTGGCCTCTGAATCTTCTTTTAGTTTGGGTGGTCGTATTTTGAACAAATATAGGGGTAAACTTTTGCCAAAGAATGTTGAGGCATTGGTTACCACCCAAAATTGGTGTCGTGGTTATCAAGCGGATGTTGAGGAAGACGTCCTCCTTATTGGTAAAGAGATTGAAGCCGAAAGTGCTTCATCTGCATAACTGGTATTTGTGTCTCATTGTGGTTTATTTTATCTTGAAAAATCGTTGCCCTTGTCATTTATTTTCAGACTTGCTGGCAGCATTTTTCAAGACTTTTAAAATCGTTGCCCTTGTCATTTATTTTCAGACTTACTGGCAGCATTTTTCAAGACTTTTAAAATCGTTGCCCTTGTCATTTATGTTGAGACTTAAATAGTTAAATGTATTTTGGTACTTGCTGGCAGCATTTCTCAAGTTTTTATTAAAACAACCATTGCTCAGTGATGTAAATCTGAGAGCAATTTTAAAAAAACAAAAGCTATAATTTTGAAGTTGCTTGAACTTGTTATGAGCTGCTGCCTGCTGGTAGTGCTTTTGCCTTTTGGTTGTTGTCTCTGCTGAGTTGTTGCTGCTGTTGTTTTGTTGCTGCTGTTTCTTATGCTTGCTGCTGTTTTGTTGCTGCTGTTTCTTATGCTTGCTGTTTTAATTTTTCTTGAATCATCGTTGCCCTTGTCATTTATGTTGAGACTTCAATGTATATGTACTTGCTGGCAGCATTTTTCAAGTTTTAAGTTAAAACAACCATTGCTCAGTGATGATACGATAAACGTAAATCTGAGAGCAATTTTGAAAAACAAAAATAAGTTCCTGTTGAGTCCCTTCTGCTTATATTATTCCTTGCTTCTGATAAGTTGCTGATCTGTTATTGCGTGTGCTGGTTCCTGCTTGTTGCTGCTATTTCCTCTGCTCTTGGGTGCTGTGTTGCTGCTTCAAGATTCTGCTTCAAGATTTTGCTCCCAAATCACTCACATTCTCACTCCTCCCTTCATCTTATCATGTATCATTTTTTGCAACCCTAAACTTGATGATATTTCAGTTGATAAATCTGAAATCTAATCTGGGTAGTAGTGATAGTAGTTTCATTATGTATTGGTATATGTATTGTGAATTTTAATCAATGAAAATTGTGACTTTTTTTAATTGCTTGTTGATATTACTCTAATTTTAATGCTATTTATCTGCTGGATTTGTGGTAATGTTATGAAATAATTGTGGCTACAGATTTGGGATGCCTCCGTATTTATTAAAATTCTTTTACTTAATATCTGGTTTAATTTAAGAAAAGCTAAAAAAATGTGTTTTATAAACATTTTAGTCCTCCCTTTACAAAATACTTGTATAAGAAAGTTTTATAAAGTGATAATGTGAATGATTGTACGCCTTATTGACTAGTACAGTATATTCTAATGCTTATGCCACTTGTGTAACGCAATCTCATACATCTCCAATCTTATGTTACCTTTGAGGCTTTGAGTGATATTGGATGATCATGAATATCAAGGAACAATGAAGATAATTTGGGTGGACTAGCATTATTACTGGAATGAAAATGATACAAATGATATATCTTGTAATTAAAATAAATAAGTAATCTAAAACGATATTAATAATGTCGTTGGCCTAGATCTAGGTAATATAAACCTTTGTATAAACCTAAGCCGTTTGATTAGATCTACATTTATTAACATTAATTGTATTTACTATTTAGCCATTTAGGTTGTAAATAATTCAATTTGAATTAAGCAGTTTGTAATCGGATCAGTTTAAACAGGTTAGCGGATTATAACGGTTCGGTTTATATGTGCGGTTTAAACGGTTTCGGTTCATAAACGGGTCGGTTTAAACGGTTAGCGGGTTACAAATGGTTCGGTTTAAACGGTTTTTTTTTGGTTTAAACGGTTTCGGTTTATAAACGGTTCGGGTCATTAACGGGTTTATAAACCATTCGGTTCGGTTTCGTTTCGGTTCGTATTTGCGCAGTTTGGTTTGTTATCGGTTTACGGTCCGTAACGGGTTGACATTGAGCGGTTCAATTCGGTTTCGGTTTGATATTGAACGGTCCAGTTCGGTTTTCGGTTTATATTTATCGGTTTATAAACGGATCGGTCCGTGATGGTTCGGTTCGGTAACGGGCGGTTTCACGGTTCGGTTTGAAAAGTCCCACCCCTATATATACATATATATATATATATATATATATATATATATATATATATATATATATATATATATATATATATATCATAGGTATAAGATGCATTTGGCAACTAGCATGACCCCTTGAGTCTTCAAATCTTCAAGGGTCTCCGATGCAACTTTTTTGGCTTGTCTTCTTAGAAACGCCGTCTTCGAGACATCTCCGCCAACTATGCGTCTACTAGTTACTAGGACTAGGAATAATCTAAATATTAAGGTACAAAAATACACAACGGTACGCAAACCGTAGTTAGATTTACAAAAATACATAACGGATCGCAGTCCGTATTTACTATCCTAGTCGGACCCCACTAGTTGCCATTTTCACAAAACCTGTTAAACAATATAAATTTCATTCATACATTCACTATATGTGAATGGCCCATGCATTTTACAACGATAAACAAGTAACAATGCATAACACGCACAAACTAGTAACTAACTTAGGTGGTTAATCCAATTAACGCGCCTAATTAAAACTAGTCAAAGTTGCTAAATATTTTATGTGATTAAGACGCAATTAGTTCAAGCAATTAACGAAGCTCCCACTAAATTTCGCATTCAACTTAATTAATCCAATTAATTAAGTCGATTAACCCAAAATTTGTCCAAAATTTTTTTGCAAGAGCCGGAAGAATTGAGGCCTAGCCTCGTTAAAATAAATAAATAAAATAATTAAAATGGCCCCTATTACGCAAAACAATAGCCCACAACATACCCCAAGTGCTTAGCATCAAAGCCACGAGGTTAGACTTGCTAGGCACTAAGGTCGTGGCTACTAGCCTAGGGTGCTGGGCTGCGCGCCATGGCTGCCTAGCAGCCCTAGGTGCTATGGCTGAGCTTGCTGGCCTGCCTGCCTAGCAGAGCGCGCCATGCTTGCTGGCACCACACGCATCGCAACAAGCTACGCATGCATGCTGGTGCTGGCAGCGTGTGCTGGGCTCGCTGGGGCTCGCTGCCTTGCTGCCAAGCAGCATGCGGGCACCTTCACACAGCACACGCATCTCCTTGCTCAGCCATAGCACCAAGCGCAACCTTGCATATACATCGTAGCACTATGCACCACACACTTGCACACACACACTAGCGCATCAACGAGGCAAGGCAACCCACCACACACCTTGGCAGCCACATGTGGGCTGCTTGAGCAGCCTGGCTAGCCTAAGGGAGTGGCTTGGGCGATTTTGCCACGATTTGCGTGCACTTGCCTCGGGATTTTAATTCCCGATTTATGTGATAAAAATTAATTTTAAATTTATTTTAGAACCAATTTAATTAAATTCAATTTTAATAGTGCAAAAGCTTAAATTATTCAAGAATCATTCTTTAAATCAATTTAGGTCTATCTTGATGCTACAAAATTGAAGGGCTACACTCATAATTATTTTAACCAAATATAAATTAATAATGACATTTGACAAAATTAAAGGGGTTGGAAAATTAGACCCTTTCATCCAATGAAAATTTCCAACATTAACTTGTGTGAAATTGAAAAATTACATCTTCCAATATGAAGATTAATTAAATTTCAATAACAAGTTTTGAACTTTTAGGACTTTAATCAACTCAAAAATGATTAAATCCAAAAATTAGTTTAACATGAAATTTAGCAATCAAAGTTCCAACCAAATAAACAATTAAAGATTGGATCTTTAAAATATTAGGGACTTCAAAAATTACAATTCAGCATAAACATTCACACTTGAAGCAATTTATTTGCAAAAATGTGAAAATTTCAAGTTTATGTGAAAAATGAACTCACCAAATTAAGCACCACTTATGACTTCATAAACATGCTTAATAAGGTTTATAATTGCAGTAGATTAGTGATGCAACCATACATTTAATCTACCTTTAACATGCCATAATTAATCAAGGTTTAAAGATTTAAAAAATTTCGTCAAAAACGAAAAACCCCTCGAAAAACATGTTTTTGGGTGGATTTTGGCTTCTGGACATCCTTCAAAGAGAGTCAAAAACGATTTAGAACATTGATTCCTCCCAAAAATCACTATATTTGAGTCGAAATCTGGGTTCATAGGCCAAAATTAGTAAAATACGAGATTAAACTAATTAAAACGAGCTTCTAATCTAATTAGAAAGCAAAACAAGAATAATTTAAATCCATTTTAAATCACCTCAATTAATTATTAGTTATAATAAATAAAATGAGCGCGGCTCCGATACCGTTGTTGGGTTTCGTACCGTCCAACGCTACGCGGAAGAGAAACCCGCCCAAGACCCGCTCAATAATTAAAGCAACTAAATATTTGATCACATAATTAACAACATAAGAGAGAGAAAGAGAAAGACATTCTAACCCTTGACGCGTGCTTCGCTTGATTCACAAGCTCTTACTTCAAAGCTCGAGCCTCGCAAGTGCGACGTCCTCCTACAGCTCGCACCCTCGACCCAACCCGAACGGTCTTAATCCCGAAGGTTAGTCGGGACTTGATCAATAAAAACTAGAGTATTACAAACTTAAGGTTTTCTCACTTTACAAAGGAGATGCCTTTTTAGTTCAACTCAAGTGATTTTTCCCAAACACAAAACTTGTGT